AGCAGATGTTAGCAGATATAAAATTGCCTCAAAAATAGATTTCGGAGCATGGAAATCCTAACACTGCCTAGGAAAAATATTTTCATGTGTAATTCCTAGGGATAGTCTTATGAAATAGAATTGTGATTGCCTTTTTTCCTTCAACTGTAATCGTAGGGATTTAGGCTTAGATTTATTATATTAGTATATTAACCACTATTCTTTTTGGCTTCTTGCCTTTGGATGATGTTTTCTTGTTGAGAATTATTTTCTGTTTCCATCATCTTGAAATAAACAATGTGCACTTCAATTGCCTTTTTATTATCTCTGAGCCAATGGACCAGTGCAATTCCCATTTGACAAGATTCTTCTGAAATTTTTTTCACAAGACCAGCAAAACACCAGGACTACTGATTACTTGAACAAGTTCTCTGAATGTAATATATTTTGTATTTTATCTGTGATACATGCTAACATGTCAATGAAAAAGTTATGGTTAAATAAATGTGTGCTTGAAAGTTAAACGAATAACCCACCCATCATCCATCATCAATAAATGTTTGCATGATATTTCAGTTTCTTAAGTCTGACCTTTGGAGGATACAGAAAAAGTATAAAACGTCCCCCAAGACTGAAGACTGTGGAACATTGATTAATTATGTTTCCATGGTATCCCACTGTTCTAAACTCCTTCAAACACCCCACACACACACACTTCCTATGAGAGACTTCATCCAGTCACTTTCTAGAATATGGTCCTTACCGAGCTCTGACAACAGGCTGGGTCTCCTGTTCCAAGCACAAACCTCAAAGCTGCTACACACTTACTTTCTAGCACTGTCCCTTGCTAGAATCCCTTGCTGACAGACCCTCAAGAAGACCAAGCCCCTAAGCATCCACCCTGGACCACTGTAGACCATTTTCTTGGAGCACACACTGTTAGTGAGTTTTCTTGAGTTGCTATATGAAATCCAAACGGTGCCTTCCAGTACTAGAAATTCATTTCTTCACAGATCTGAAGGTCAAAGTCTGCCGATTGACTCAAGGTGAAAAACCAATGTCACTGCCATTTCTGTTTCCTTTTAGAGACTCTAAGGAAGATGACTGTTTCCTTATCTGAGCCAGCTTCCAGAGGCTGCCCACATTCCTTGGCCTTGGACCTCCCTCATCTATAAGGCCAGCAACAGCTGGGGGTCTTTCTCTGTTGTAGTTCTCCAACACAAACTCTTTTCTTCCTGCCTCCACCTCTAAAAGCCTTGGGGCTACCCTGGACCACCTGGACGGTCTCTTTAGCATTGCTGGTTAGCCCCCTGGTTCCATCTACAGCCTCAATTTCTCTTTGCCGTGTAGTACATCCACACGTCCCAAGCACCAAGACATGGGCCTCTTCTATGTACCACACCCGCTCACAAGGGACTCACAGACTATGAGTGGCTTGCAGGAGACAACCATGAAGCCTGGTTTCGGGAGAGCCAGGCTGGGGCAGGACCTAAGCCAAGCTCCCCTACCTGCTCCTTTCCTCTCCAAGTTTCACTTGTCAGTAGCATGAGGATTATAGTAACATCTGTTTCACAGGGTGACTGGAACGATTATGTGAAAAAATACATCAGTGTCTGGAATAAAGCAACAACTTAAAAGCTGTTGAAAGAATGAAAATTTTCAAACTATTACTACTAAAAATAATACATGAACCTGTGTTCCAGAGTACTAAGGTAGTCTAGAGACAGCATCCTAGAGCTGAAAGTATTTTAACAAGTATCAGCTGAAAGATTTATGAAAACCAGGTTCAGAGAGGGGAAACACTGTTATTCAATGTCCAGTGGAAACAAGATTAGAAGTCAGCCCTGGATTAGAAGCCTCACCCTCTAAATCCCTGTCAATCAGGACTGGATCCACAGCAGGATGATTGGCTGACAGGTGAGGAGTGTGGCCCCAGTCAAACTGGCTTTTTTTTTTTTGACTCATAGGAGACACCCTCCTGTAAATGACTTCCAACTATTGGTCTGGTTTTTTGTTTTTCTTTGGTTCTCAGGGTTGAATACAGGGCATTTGACCTAAGCTACATCCCCAGCCCTTCTTTAATTTCTTCTTTTAGGGCAAGATCTCACTGAGCTGCTAAATTGCCCAGGTTGGGCCTGAACGTGTAATTCTCCTGCCTCTCACCCTTCCAGAGTGTGGGGATGATGGTTGTGCATACCTATTTTCTTAAAGTAGTATTTCAACAATGTTTCAGTGTAATGAGAAAAATATCTGCCATAAGCACAAAACAGGGTTTTTTTTTTTAAGAGTAGGAAGAATTTATTGAGGGAGGGGTAGCTCCTGCCTGAGATGGACAAGAGCGACACCCAGAAAGTGAGTTGCCTCAGGATACATTCTTGAACATTCAACATAATAACAATCACACAAAAATATTTTTGTTTGATTTGAAATAAATACAAAAGACAGTAACAGTATCTATCTTGATGTATTTATGATGGATGCTTTAATTTTTCTGTCTTTTCTGTTTTCTGTATTTTCTAAGTGACTATGACTTTTCTAATAAGAAAAATTAAAGGTGCTTACTTTGAAAAACAGCAATAATGAGAAAGATTACTTTTTCAGCACATTATTTTGTCCTCTCATGACCTGAAATGTCTTGAACCTGGATATTTAAAACTAGTGTTTCCTTTATAATCAAAATTATTTTTCCACGCTATTCCTTTCCTGATATGTAGGGGAGCTCTATTTTATCCCACCACTACATTATTCAAAGGAAGGAAGGGAGGAAGGGAGGGAGGGAGGAAGGGAGCGAGGGAGGAAAAGGAATGAGGGAGGAAAGACGAAAGGAAGAAAGAAGGGGGGAGAAAAGGCTAACATTAACCACCTCAGTAAGCAAGTCTATGATGATGAAAAATTGAAATGTTACTATCAGTGAAAATAATTAATCAAACTACGTGAACACTTACACCTCCCTAAAACCAGCACCAGCACCACTTGACCAAAGCTTTCCAGCTTTGTATTGTTTTCCCTTTCAGTTATCACTACATTCATAATTCAGACAAACTTCCTTTGTAACATCATTTCATATCAGACGCAGAAACGTGTTCGGAGACCATAACTCTAAGCAAGAACACCAGTCAAGTCTCTTGAAACCCACATTCCCTTGAATGCAATTAGTTTAATCTCTTTCTGAATGCATTCTTAATACAGGCTTTTACCATGGGCCATTTTTCATGTGTCTATGTTTTTCATCGCCAAATTCTTGAGTAAGGCCACAGACATTAAAATGATAACATATCGTGTTTAAATCATGGTTGAGTTCAAGGGGGAAAGAACATGCTCTGTCTCGAGTTAGAAGCAAGGAAAGTGATTGCAGGCCATGACTGCATCGTTCTCATAACATTTGGACCTGTTTCTGACTGTCACGCTGGGTTAATGGATTTCAACCTGGAAAGTCAATCAAGAGCACCCACAGGCCCCTGGCCTCCACCCTGGGCTGAAAGTGGGGGCCACACCTGCTGAGAGCCAGGGCTCTCATGACTCATGAAGACGCCAACTCCAATCCCATTTGTCGAAGGGTCTCAAAGCCCCAGACTAGGCCTGGGAAGAAACAGCCTTACCCGGAAGTGACCAGGAATTGAAAACCTGAGAAGGAAAAAACCTCCCCTGATTTCTGAAGGGGTGATGCCGATAAATGACGAGCAGATTCATTATATTAAGTATTAATACTGGAAAGCTTCCAGGAGTCTCCTGACTGACCCACCTCACCTTCTACCTGGTGCCGCCCAGGTTCAAAAATTTCCCAGCACCCTTTTGTCAGCTCAGCTTGCACCCTGATGACCTTATGCCCGTCCCTCGGTGTCACCTCCCTGATCCAGAGGAAGAGCTCTAGCCATCAGGACTTAGAATCTGTTATCAGCGCATTCATGATTTCTAAAACCTCACATCTCCGCTTCAATAATTACTGTCATCATAATGTAAATAGCTACCGTTCACTGTGTATTTCCTAGGTACCAGGCATTGTTACTTGAGTTGTCTCATTTTCCTGCTGCATTCACCACAGGAGGCAGAGCTCAGTTATTAAATTCTCTGAGTCTCAAAGCTTTCAGTGATAGAGGAGGGGTGTGCAAAATAGCGAAGGTCACACTGCAGGTAGATACCAGGTCTAGGTCTCACACCCAGGAAACCTTAACCTCTGAGTCCACACTCTTTAATATTGAATTAGACTTGCCCTTGTCTCCCTGATACCAAAATTCCCAAGGTTGACTGCACCCATGTAACCCATAGAAATTATTTTCTTCTATCGTCTTATCCCAAAGGATATTTATATACATGCACAAATATTTTTTTTTTTTTTAAACTACAAAAGATTCGCCAAAGTAGTGCAGTTCCCATACACCTTTCATCCAATTTCCCTAAAGACCACGCACTTTGGTTTCACATTGTCTTTGGTCCTCAGGCCACCGTTGTCAAAATCAAATCCTCTGAAGCATTGCATGACCGGAGCGCAGCCGAAAAGATCGTGTCGAGTTATAACAGCGCCTCACACAGGCGACATCACTGTCCCCTTGCAGGGGCTCTTCTCTGGCCACCTCCCCTTTGATCTGTTGTTACTAACGACTCGCTCTCTGATGGGCACAGAGCCTGACTGTAGACCTGCACCGGCTTCCATGGCAGACTGAAAGGTTCCTACTTTGGCTGGGTACCCATCTGGCATAAAGTAGCGTCTCTCTCTCCCGTAGAAAACCCAGGGACAAACAGCCCTGCAGATCTCAGGGAGTCTGCAGCTCCCCGGGTACCTCTCCTCAAGTTCAATATTCTCTGTTTTACTTTCTGAAAGCTAAAAATGGCAGTCTGACCTGCTAACCTCGCTCGCTATCTTCCCTTTAATCTCCACGGAGCCCCACTTCGCTAGCTCTGGGGACTCTGCCAGAGACATGCAGAGCCGCTCTATCCGAGGCAGGGCTTCCCCCGTGGAACTGTTGTTGGTCTGGGGCTGCGGCAACGGCTGTTTGCCAAAGAACACATGTAACCGCCACCGGCACAAGCTCATCAGGCCCTGAGGACAGTGGATCTGCTTCTCCCACTGTGTCAAATCAGTGACTTCGAGGATTTCCCGACGGCAGGGGCTGATTGGCCCCTCGGCTGGGTACTCACCGAAGGTCAGTGCACTTATCTGTGTAGACTCTGGTGACACCTCACAAATTAGTATTTATGGGATGAATACTCTGTCCAAGCTAAACATTCTAAGTGAAATGTCACGGGCTTATTTCTTGATAAATTCTGAAAATCTGAAGCTCTCAAGCAAATAGAAGATCAGGTGATTATTAGTGAACCCACAAAAGCAAATCAGAGGCCAGCTGGTCCTTGAGAGTTCCCAGACCAAGAAAATGAGGATGAACATAATGAAGGATTTTTTTTTTCATTTTTCAAATATCAGCGAGCTTTAAAAAGTACAATGGGCACTTTCCAATAATGCCCATATCTTGAAAATATAAAATTAGCCTATCATCAGCATGGTATGCTAAAAATAATCCAGGCTTTAGAATTGGACCGAAAAACCTGAGTTTGAATGTGTCATTTATTTGGCTACATGACTTCAATGATCTAAACTTTCTTCTCCACAATGGGAAAATAACGCACACACATTCTAAAAGACCATTACAAAAATGAAATATGACAGTGTGTACACAGTACTTTGTTCCATAAAGGATAATCCAATAAATGTCAATTCTGTCGCCCTTAAAATTTGTTCCACAACTCCTGGGTATCCAGCATGGCAAGCAGGAAGATGTTTTTAAGGAGCCCAGGGATCTGAGTCATCAAAATTTAAGGAATTTAAGTGATTGATGGTACCAGCAGTCACAGCAAAAAAAAAAAAAAAAAAAAAAAAAAATG